GCACACGCTCCCAGCACCCCGACCAACCTCTCGGCGTACCCAGGTATGTACTCACGCTATCGCATGCTGACGTGCAATCGCAATTGTTGTATGTGTGTGCCTGTCAACCCCCAGAAACGCCTTGTAAAACACAGCAAACAGCCGGAACGCTTTGACCTGCAAAGCACGCAGCTCTCCCTCCTCTCCACCCTTCAATGCACTCTCGTCAGCCACCAGTATCGGCATTATCTGCATCATGCTCCTGTGCTCGAACGCGGCGTAATTTGCACCTGAACTGAAGAACGCTGAGCCCCCTGGGATTCGGAGGAGAACGCTAGGCGTGATGGCCTTGAACTCCTTCTTGCGTCTGCGCACAACACGGATTCGAAGAGCTCATGTAGCTGCACACATGGTGTTCTACAAACCAACTGACCCTGGCAAGGTAGAGCATGCCCAGTTCGACCACCCAGCAACACCCGGCTCACCGTTCAAGCAGCCGCATCTCAACCTTCCCGAGCGGCTCTATGTAGGTGTCCATCATGTGGATCAGCACACCAGAGTCCAGAACATGCAGCGTGTCTGCAAGGCATGCCAGATACACGTTGCCCCACTCTGTGTCTGCAAAATTCCACCTGTGAAGCACGCACTGCACGTTGCAACGGAGGACACGACGGTGTCAAAACGTGCCCACTGGAACCCTACACCAGTATCCTATCCAACTCGAAACACACCTCGATCGGATGGGTTGACCACAACCTCCGCACATCGTCAGCGTCGCTTTGCTTCTTACACGCCAGGATCTGTCGGACAATGTCCCTCTGCTTCTCGGGGGTACGTGGATCTACCTTCCCCACCATCATGGTCAACTCCCCCTTGTCGGCATAGCAGTTAGCGCATGGTCGATGCGACCCTTGCTGAAGCGTCGCAGATGCTCTGCTGGATTCAGGGAAGTCGGCAGGGTATCCGTACAGGCAAGGGACCGCCTTGTGCACCTTCCCGTCCGCGTCTGTGCAGTAGAAGAAGCGAACTGGCGCGCTGCGCAGTGTACAAATGCACACATGGTGTGCAGTTAGTGATGTTACATATACACAACTCTTAGTCCTCTCTCCACTCACTACTTGATGGGGTGCCCACCACGGGCGACTTCGTGTAGCACTTTCAACACCACCCCGGTCCCCCAGTGTACCTTGCAGACTCTCGCATGATGGGCGCGAGGATGATCTTTATCGCCTCTTGGAACACGCGCGTCTTCTCCATAGACGATGCCCACTCAGGTGGGAACGGAAGCACCGCCGCCAATGTGTGCCCAGGCTCCACTCCTCGCAAATCCGCCGGAATGTTGATAAGTGAGATCAGCACCGGCCACGCGTTCCTCCTGCCATTCCGTGATGCCTGTGTGCTGTCACTGTATATCAGCACGCCTAGAATGAGTGCATCCTCGTCATTAATCTCCTTCTGCCATGTGCACCACACGTGCCGGTGAGCTGTGGGTAATCGAAAGCATCGTACCTGTTGTAATCCACAATTAATGGGCCGAGCCTAAACGCGGCGCGTACCTGGGCTGCGTGCATCCAATCACCCGTCTCCGGTCCTTCAAACACCCTCTCGTTGTTCTTCTTCCGATGAATCTTCCTTGGTTTCCAAACGAACCCCTTCTTCGATGAGAACGTCCGCACCAGCTTCTTCAAAATCTGCGGGCATCGATGTGGAATCAGGCGCGAGTTATGGTAGGTAACGAACAGTGGTCACGGGCGACACTTCATTACGACGTCGCGAGCTGGGGTGGGCTCCTATTACGAACCAGCTCTGTGTCGCGGAAGTGCAGTAGCAGCTTCATTTGCATTCCTTTGGGGCCCCGCACCACTATCTCCTCTGTTTTCCAAGGGACCATGTCGGCGGGAGCGCGCGCCATGCCCCAGCGGCGCACGTCCACCCAGTTGCGCCATCGTCTGAGGGCCCGTAGGTTGAAGCGCGGATTGCGGAATATGTGTAGCAGACGGTTAACCTCCCTGTGCGAGAGATCGGCGTCCCTAAAGAAAAGGTACAACTCCGTCAGTGTATCGAAAATCTCCGCCCTCACGCTGTCTTCTGAAGACCCTGCATGTTCGCCCTCAGCTGGTGTATCCTCGTCTCCAACAAGACTGACTTCGGGGATCGAAGCCGTTGGAGCAACAGATATAAAACTGCCATCATTCTCCTTACGCCGGGAGGCCGGCGGTGTGTTAGGTCTGCTCTCTCCGTCGCATGCGAGGGCTTCCAAATATGCAGCTAGCAAAAGACTCTCTCGTTTCCTCTTCAACTCGGCGCGACAAACTGCACCATTGGCGACATGAGACTGTAACCTGCTGTCGTCTTTAAACACCGTCTCGCACACCAGGCAACTGTTGCCCGTCATCCTACAGCCGTGAAACCCTAGGGGGCCGAGCAATCGAAACCCTGTTCAGTACCTCATGTGCACACTAATAAAACTCACAGGAACAACTTATCGCCCAAACATGTGCAGGAAGACGATGAAATGTGTGCAGGAAACAACGGGTCATTTGTGACACGATAATCAATGTACACCCCAACATATGGGTTTGCTAATTTCTAAAAGCAGTCTAAAGGGTGCATTTATTTATTGGAAAAAAGTATTTATGTCACGATGTGTCGAGAACCAAGGACTGATTATTTGTACATACAAAACACAACGACCCCAAAGTTGTTCTGCGATTTCACCTGCAATGTCGCGCAATGCACGTGTACACCCACACCTTTTTTACATATCCATAAAATGTCAGAGTTATATTACTGTAACTGCATGTAGATATAGCAGTAGTGTAGTTATCACATTCTGTTTGGTGGATTACCCCCTTTCCTATCATATTTGTACCCTTGACTCTATAGTGAAGTCCTCTTTCATTGCCAACTCCCTCGACACTCTACCTCCTAGCATGGCTCCTAAGACTAAACCCTAGCAACCTATCTTGACATGGTTTCAGAGCTGGTTCTTTCCTAGAACCTTCATTTTTTTTTCAGAAACATGGGCCCGCCCTTAATGCAGCGCGAAATGCGCTATTTTCTTCGTCCCGTCGCGCCCTGCGCCCGTCTGATTCGTCGCCCCGCGGCCCCCCATTTCGTCGCCCCGCGGCCCCTGATTCGTCGCCCCGCGGCCCCCCATTTCGTCGCCCCGCGGCCCCCGATTCGTCGCCCCGCGGCCCCCCGTTTCGTCGCCCCGCGGCCCCCCCCGTTTCGTCGCCCCGCGGCCACCCGTTTCGACGCGCCGGGGCCCCCCGTTTCGTCGCCGCGGACGCCAGCGCCGGCGGGCGCCAGCACCAGCACAAGCACCAGCGACGAACGCCAGCGCCGGGGCCGGCTCCCAGCGCCAGCAGCCCACGCCAGCGCCGGCAGCGGGTGATTCCGCCCTTCCCACCCGCCCTCCCTTCCGTCGTGGGGGGGGGGGGGGTTGGGGGGGGGGGCGGGTGTGAGGAGCCTGCCGCTCCTCCCTCCCTTCCCTCTTCCTCTCTCCCTGCAGCAATTGTTGCTGGGGGGGGGGGGAGAGAGGGTAAGGGGGGATGAGGGAGGGTATGAGAGAGAGTGGCAGAAGCAGCAGCCCTGCATTTGCAACTGCCACCCCCTGCTACTGTGGCACCTCCAGCTGCAGCCCCTGTTGCCACTTAATTCGTCTCTTTCGTTTGCTGCTGTTGAGCGGCAGGTGCTGCCGTTGAGCCTGCTGTGCCGCCGCTCGTTGCCGCCGCACGCCGCTCTCCAGGCGACCTGCGCCACATGCACCTTTCTTTCGTTTCTGTATTGGCCAAGGGGTTTCTGCAGTTGTTTCTGCCACTGCTGCACTGGTTGTCATTGCTCTTGCGTGCTAATGCTTTCAGTACACTTGCAGGTTGTGATTTATGCTTTGCTATTCCTGCATGCAGTTAAGGGGGAATGTCAGAGTTATATTACTGTAACTGCATGTAGATATAGCAGTAGTGTAGTTATCACATTCTGTTTGGTGGATTACCCCCTTTCCTATCATATTTGTACCCTTGACTCTATAGTGAAGTCCTCTTTCATTGCCAACTCCCTCGACACTCTACCTCCTAGCATGGCTCCTAAGACTAAACCCTAGCAACCTATCTTGACATAAAAATATAGCAAAACATTGAATAACCGCGTATACCAATACACGATTATCCCATCCCATGGCACAACTGCGGATTCCAAACGATGCTCGGCGCGCCCTAACAACACAACGACCCATGTGCCCCCTACCGCGTACGGGGACATCGGAATCTGCGTCAGTAGGTATGTACAAGAAAATCGGGCCACAACTGGCCAAACCACCATGCACCAGGTTTGGTGACCCACCCAGACCTCGGACCACATATTCCGAAACCCTCGGCTCATCACACGTGGATCTGCATGTGACCTCACCGTCACATCCGGGTGAGCTATCCAATCACACCTGGTGCATCGCATGCGATTCTGCACTAACGGTGTAGATCGTTGAGCACGGGCATGCTGTTCGCACCAGCCTATGCGCGAAAGGCATGGGTGACGCCCTGCAGTAGCAGCTTCATTCCGAATGGTGCCACGGTCGCGAGATCCGTGAGTAGCTGTGCTCACCCAGTCATCCCCTCCGTGCTCACCTATGAATCACTCTGCGTCCTCCGAATTGTAGTGAGTGCTCGTTCAGGATGGCGAAACCCAAACAGTTGGTCTCTAAGCGCAACCGGTTCTATGAATCGGAGACTAGCAGCAGCGGCGATGACGAGGACCCCAACCCGCCCGTCACCAGATCTAGGGCGTCGAACAAGGGCGACAATCCTACTGCTCCCTGCCCGCCGACGAAGGACTCCGGAAGGGCTTCTAGGTTCGCGTCTCATGTTGTGAATAAGGCGATGGAGCCCGTGCCGGACGACATGGTGGCCGCTATCGCCCGAAGGCAACGTACAGCAACGTGATGCTCATGAATCACCGCGGTGTCGGATGCACGGTGGATAAGGACGACTTCATGTCAATCGAGGACGATCAGTGGATTACAGATGGTGTCATCGACTTCCACAACGTGTAAGTACCGTTATGACGGCCGAACCCTTTACGCGGGGCTTTGCGCGATGGTTACTGATGCTTGTAGCCAGATGTGGTAACATGTACTTGTTCACCTCTTCGCAGGCTGCTTAGCATCAGGAAACCAACGCTCCGCGACGGGAAGACATGGGCCGCCATGGACTGCAAGGCTTACACACAGACGAATTCGCACGGTGCGCCGTTAACGCTTGGGAACGGGCGGCCGCTTCTGGAACACGATTATCTGGCGATCCCGGTGCTAGAATCGTGAGTAACGTGCATAACGTGTTTATCGATGGGTTTATGTTGTGTGCCATGGTGTACTGTCTATCCACTGACACATTTAACACCGCTCATGTTGCGCGCAGTGAGCACTATTCGCTGGTCATCGCTATAAATCCATCGGTGCTCACCAAGTCGCCGAAATCGAAGTGCAAAGAGCGCTTGACGTTGGTATTGATGGACAGCGCGATCAAGCATCGGAATAGCCGCAAGATTTTAGCAGGAACAATGCTGTGAGTATGGGTTTAAACAAGTTCGTATACAGTAGCCTTGCTTGATCTGCATATTAATACCAGTTGACCTGTTGCGTTCAGTGTGCTGTCTGAGCTCGCAAAGGCGAGCTCCCCAAGCGCGAACATGGAGTTTGTGGACCAGACGCTGAAGGAGGCGGACTGTTGCATTTTACGGGTAAGTATGCGACGTTAACCGTGGACACCGATGTGCGGTTTGTACTTGATGGTGTGCATACTGATAAACAATGTGTGCGGTGCCATGTTGGCAGGAGGACAAGCTGCCACAGCAGCCTAACAAGGAGGACTGTGGGATTTTTGTTTGCCAGTACCTCAAGACCCTCGTGAATACCGACTTCGCCACGGTTCTTTCGGGCCTCTGGTTCCAGGGTGTGACACCGCACCAATACAGGCAGGAGATGCGGCGCGACCTGTGTGCACACGCGAGCGGCGCTCTTTTGCAACAGCTGCAGGACATGGGAATTGAGATCCCCCCGCAAGACGAAGGCCGGGTTACCGATGAGGGTACAGTGGTGCAGATGAAGAACGCGGCTGTGGGAGATGGGAGGACGGCACCGGTCACTCGCCCTGTGGAGGACGCACGGGTTACGGAGGTGATGAGGCGTGTAGCCTCCTTGACTAACGATGTGAGGTACCTGAACGCCACCGTCACCGTGATCGCCAACTTTGTGGGACTGAGGCGGGACGAGGTCGTGTCCGCTGCAACCCAACTGCTGCTGCAGGGCGGTCACCCGGGCACCGGCACGAATGCAGAGGCGGGTGGCAACAAGACTGCGCCTCGCACACCACAGCGTCCGTCTGCCCGTAAGAGGCGGGCCGACAGCAGTCCTGAGGAGGATGGCGTGCGCAACGGCACCCGGGTAGCGCTGGCCTCCACGTTCGCTGCATGTGCGCCTGCATCGAGCCTGCTCCCGAACCCGCTGCTCTCCCAAGGTGCCATACCTCACTGGATGTTCACGCGCGGGAGGCAGCTGCTCGGGAACGGTGTGCCACCTGGAGATGCCGCGTGGGGAGACACGCACTGGCAGGAGACGCAGAAGGGCGAAGAGGAGGAGGACCTCGTGTCCGACTCAGACGACGATGGCGAGGACGAGGATACGTGTGCAACCACGTACACGGGTGTGAAGCTGGACAAACGGACTGGCAAGTTCGGCGTCAAGATCTTGATCAAAGAACGTGGAAAGCGTAAGCAGCAGCGCCTGGGAGCATACACCACGGAGGAAGAGGCGGCATTCGCGTATGCCGCTGGTGCGTTCGTCCTGAGGCCACGCGACAGGATACCCAACACCGTCACCCTGTCAGCGGCTGAGAAGGCGATGCTGCGGGGATGCACAAAAGAAGATTTGCAGATACTGGTGGAAGCAAGGAAGTGGTGGAGGTGGCGAAGCTGGCGTGACGCGCTGGAGAGCGTGAGCAGCAGGCTGAAAGGAGGGAGGAAGCGTGGGGGTGACACAGGTACATCAAAGAGGCGCAGGGTGGTGGAGAACAACAACACGGCTACCAACGAACCGGCGGCCCCCGAAAATGCAGAGAGTGGGGGGACGACCACCTTGTGCAACGGGCACGGCGGAGGTGCAAAGGAAAATGACCAGGAAGAGCGACAGGGAGACAGTGGTGCACAAGAGAAGACGGCAGCCACAGCTGCATAGTGGTTGTGGAGTCAAAGCATATGAGAAACTTGTTCGTGCGTGTATTTTAGTACATATGTGTGAACACCTAGCTGATCTTCAATAGTGTGCTTTCGTGGTTGTATGCCTGTGCGATCAATGCTAATGATTGTGATTTCACCACCATGTGCCTCTTTGATGTATGGTTGTGGCCGGGTTGTTTTGTTCTCCGGATGCGTTATCGTGCAGTTGGTGTGCTGAATGCCGGAAAAGGTGTATGGAGTCCCTGAATACGGGAAACCGGATGTCTATAACGGAGGTAGCACAAACGATGTATATGGATACGGTTGTGTCACCACGATGAGCGCAATGTATGGTTCTGCTGTGGACACCCGTCACCGGTATGATGACGTGCTGTTCACTCATTGGACGTTTTGGATTGCGGTCGTCCAGATGTGCACGAGGTATTCCTGGCTACCAAACTCCTCTAGTAAACGGTGTCGCGGTGTGTTTGGAAGTTGAGCTCCCAACTCTAGGTAGAAAAATGGGTAGCGCGTCACTGTCAAAGCATCTCACTGGATACTTCAATTGCTATAATGGAGACCTCGATGGCTTCCGAGGATACGAGGGCCGGAGGCCGCTCACGTCGTGTCTCGCAACCGCCGGCATACCTGCGTTCGTCATACCAGTTGACGATGCCGCGAGGTCGGCTGTCGAACGGGAAGCGTGGGGCGACCGTTCCCAAGCGCTTGAGCTTGTCCACTAAGGGAAAGGAGGTGGCACATTCAGAGCAAGGTATGCATAACGAGCGTATGTGGATGAGTCCCGACGTGTGCTGCACGCGATGTTGATCTCACCCGTGGAACTATGGAGTAAAGCAAGATGCTAACTAGTGGTGTTGTGCTTCCCTGGTGTTTCTCTCACCCACAGATGACGGCACGGGTGCAGAGAGTGCAGATTCGTCTGAGCGCAGCGAGGAAGAGGACGAGGAAAGCGAAGACACATCGGCGCCAGGATCACAAGAGGAATCCGCCGACCAGGGCGCTGGAGGGAAGACGCACGACGATGGATGTGCGGGAATATCCGCGGCCAATGCTGACAGGCGCACACATCAAGATGCGCGGGACACTCATGTGTCTCGAGGCGACGGCCGAGGACAGGCGGACGGACTTGTTGGCCGCACACGCGTGAACACCTTGGACGCCAACGGCGATGACGTGCGCATCCCTAGCCGGATCCTCGAGCAACTCATACAGGCGCAGGACAAGAGCGCCAAGGAGAACGCGCGTTTGGAGGCGCTGTTCTTGAATGCGATGTCTCGCCCTTCCGGTGGCTCTGGTAAGCGTAAAGCTCAGAAGCAGAGAGACCCGGGGCAGGGTTGTATGAACCCGAAGCGACAGCGTGGTGAGACGTGGAGTGGCGGGTCCGACGGCGACGGCGAGGATGACGATGACGACACGCATGGTTCTGGTGGCCGTCATATGCGTACCGCGAAGTCTCCTATTCTGCAACGCGCTTTGGAGCATTTGCCGACGGACAAGGCATGGAAGGTGAGCGGGCATGTTACCGTTGGGGCCTTTTTTCCGTTCGTCGTGTTGGGCTGCCATGTGGGTCAGGTGATGGTTACCGGTTTGCACTTATATCATGTTTTGTGTACACCGTATGTGCGCAGAGGGTTTGCGAGCTGGCCAGGGTGCACATGTTTCTCAACAGGCCGACGTCGACGATGACCTTCTACCCGAGCAGCGACGATAAGACTCACGGAGTGTGTGCGGTGCTGGACCGCCTGCCGCATAGCTTCGCCTGTTTGGCGCTGGCTGCTGACAAGTCGCGTCGCGCGGATCTCAACAAGACGCTATCTGAGTGGAAGACAAGGGCTGCCGCACGCGTGCGAGACATTGCACTTCCCAAGCTCGGATTGTTCCGCGACGACAGGGACGCATCCAGCCCATGGGCGCCCGAGAAGGCACGCAGTATCGATAAGATCCGGGAGCGCATTGGTCTTGGCGCTGACCCCCCTGGTGAGTGCATTCTACCACTGCAGAGAGGGTTACCTACGTATGCTTATGCTGACCACCTCGTGGTTGGCGACGGCTGACAATGACAGTGCGCATGTGGTGTGCAGAAACCCTGGTGCTCACGAGCTGGGCGAACGACCGTGACGGCATGCCGTTTGCCTCCCGGGCGTTCGCGACATGCGCGAAGGCTGCATTCAGGCCCAAGAAGGCCGGGCTGGTGATGACACTGAAGGTGTACCACCTGGCCTGGTTGGAGCATGTGGTGAGTCTGTGCGCCCTATGCGAGCCATGTTTTCGAGTTGTACCGCCGCACCATTTGGGTGACACGCTGGGTGGTGGATGCGCAGGTCTCCGACTGCGTCCTCTACTGGGAGGAGAGGAAAGGCCGGCTTTCCAACTCGGCCGGCGGCAACGCACACGTCGTGGACGGCCTCAAGGTCCTGGTGAAGGAGGTCGTGGAGAGGGCGATCAGGATCCGCAACCCGGAGTATGACGCGGAGCGAGAGGCGTGGATCTGGGGGCGCCATGGACTGCGCATCTCTGCGTGCGGCCTGGAGCACATGAAGCCCACCGCCGCAGCTCAGTCCGAAGAGCATGAGGGGGACGACGACCTCTCGGCGTCAGTTGGTGATGAGTAGTCCGAAGGGCGTGTGAGGGCGTTCAACATTGAGGCGCGCACCGTTGGTGGGACAGGTGGCTGGTGTCGTGGAAGGCAGCATTATCGGTTCCGTGTCAGAGCAAAAGTTCAGTTCCGTGTCAGCATTATCAGTTGCGTGTCAGTGTCGTGAAAAAAATATCGGGAATGTTGAGTAAAAGTTTCTTGCGATTTGCTTTTCGAGCTTTCCTTTTTCGCGATGACTGCGTGGCGGATCTCTTCAGCCTCTACGACGACGCGTACCGGTACGTGCATGCACCTCGCCGCTCTCACCTTTCTTTTGATTTCCATCCCAAAAATCACATCAAGAGGGGTTGGTTTGCAGGGTTGAAGCGCGGGCAAGGGTTCCGAAGTATGTGGGAGGTATGGTGTATATCCCAACCGTGCAATATATCTACTCCGTGCGCAGCGCACCTCTGACACAGTAGATGAGGTCGCGACAAGTACACCATGCAGATTCACGAGTTAGTACCAACCTTGCACGCTGTGCGAGTTGACTGCATGATACGTGGGGAATTTTGATTGTTATCTTCGTTCGGCTTTTATTCCCAAATGGGCCCTTGTTTTTCTTTTCACATCTCAAATCTGGCAGCCTATCTATGTGAGGTGCTCTTTTTCCACGTCTTCAATCAGGGTTCTCTGTATCTCATTCATATTATTCATCCACATGGCCTTTCTGCTGCTTTTTGTTGGCAGATCGCTCTGGCCTGGTCGCGTGGACCTAGTAATCCGCAGCCACGTGTCAAGCAACTTCTTCCTGCTCGAAATGCTCTTTGGCAGCATCGAGCAGATGTGGCCACGTGGCATCGGTGACGTCATCCTCATCCTAGACGGCGACGAGCGATTGGCCGAGGACCTCATTCCCACGTGGATCAAAGTCTACTACGAAGATAACAGGTTGGAGCTTCCAGGAAAGATCCTGCAGCAGTGGTGCTACCTCTGGGCTGACAACTACACGACAGCACCTTACGTGGCCCTAATCGATGATGACGTCATCTTTAACTTGAAAGTAACGCCCGGGGTGCTGTTCAACCTGTCGGATGGCAAGCCGTACGTGATTGGCTCGCAGCAACAGCTGGGCTTATGGTTACCCTCCACCAGGTTTTTCGTTGGAAAAGGCAAGTACTTCGCCAATTTTATGGTCCAACTGCCATTTGTGATGCCGACCAGTGTGCTGCCCAAATTCAGGAGCCACGTGGCGAATCTGCACAAGGATAAGGGCGGCAGCTTTGATTCTGCTTTCAAGTGGTTCTCCGAGCATGGACACTGGTTTAAGCGGACCCAAATCGCCCACACGACCATTGGGAACTACATGTGGGCGTATGCGCATGATGAGGTGCACTGGGCCTTGGAATGGACCAATCACACGCCGATTCCTCGCGTCGGCGTGCATGTACCCTACACGAGGCTCTTCCGTGTCGCCACGAAGCACGACCGCGACGCGCCACGTGTCATCAAGGAGTACGTGCAGGAGGCGGCTTATCACGTGCACGAGGGTGTGTGCCATGCTCTGCCTGCTGAAGAGCTCCCTGGGTGTGATGATGTGAACCCTTTCCCCCAGATGCAGATATGGCAGTATGCCTTTGATTGGTACGACTTGCCTGCTATAAGAAACATGGAGGCAAATGCTACTATTGTGTATGATCAGTACCGGAATGAGCTGGCGTGCATGTACTGGAAGGTAGCTCAGGCAGGTGGGGGAGAGGAGGCACGTGTGTTGAGGACAACTGTGCAGCTGAGAGGGGCTGATCCTGCAGGAAGGAGAAAGGAGCTCTTGACATCCCTTCAGGAGTGTATCTCCCCAAGGGCATAATCCTGGCAGCTGAGCTATGTTTGAAAAATTAGTGAATTACATGTCATAGGTGCTGCTGTTGCACCAATGCCCTTGTTGGAGCTAAGGTAGGCAATATGTTGTGTCAATCTGAGGGCCTAGTCCTCATGGCTCCCATCAAACAATAGGTTCCAACTGCCAATGTTTAGCCTGCCCCTCCATTACTTAAGTCATTAAAATTTATAAAGTGATTGATTGATACGATAGCCATAGCAGGGTATGGTACCATAAAACTGAACTACCCATGATACCAGGGTCACAAAAACACAATATTTTATTGTAAAGAGTTGGATCACCGCCTGGATCTCATTGAATCAGGCGTGTTATACTGTACAAGTGAAATGAATGCACATTTGGCTCGGCTCAGCTGAGCATCTTGGTACGGTAATGAAGAGGTTACTCTTGCTTCGTGCACAACACCCTCATTTCTTGCTGATGGGAACAGCCACCTTCATGTTGAAGCCGCAGTGGCCATACACCCCACAGCCGAAGTACAGAACCTTGCCTTTCGCTGAAGCAGGCACTGTGAACCTGGAAGGGGACCAAGCCGGGCAAGTAGGGCAAGACAGGGTGCAAGCGCAAGGGAGGCAGAGTGAGACAGCAATGTGGCAGGGGAGTGAGTCAGCAAGGGAGGCAGAGTGAGTCAGCAATGTGGCAGGGGAGTGAGTCAGCAAGGGAGGCAGAGTGAGTCAGCAATGTGGAAGGGGAGTGAGTCAGCAAGGGAGGCAGAGTGAGACAGCAATGTGGCAGGGGAGTGAGTCAGCAAGGGAGGCAGAGTGAGTCAGCAATGTGGCAGGGGAGTGAGTCAGCAAGGGAGGCAGAGTGAGTCAGCAATGTGGCAGGGGAGTGAGTCAGCAAGGGAGGCAGAGTGAGTCAGCAATGTGGCAGGGGAGTGAGTCAGCAAGGGAGGCAGAGTGAGTCAGCAATGTGGCAGGGGAGTGAGTCAGCAAGGGAGGCAGAGTGAGTCACCAAGGGAGGCAGGGTGAGTCAGCACGGGAGGCAGAGTGAGTCAGCATGGGAGGAAACGTGAGCCAACAAGGGAGGGGATTCGAGTCAGCAAGGAATTCGAGAAGCCCGAGTGAACACAACCCATGTGCGTTGCTCACTCATGGTGGAATCAAAGAAAATCTCAAAGCCACCTGAGCCACACATGGTGCTCACCTGTACGTCTTGTCAATGTCCGCAGGTGCCTTCTGCGTGGCCGTGTCAAAGTTGCAGGCTTGTAGGCTGCAACGTTGCTCATCTGCCACACGTCGTGGTAGCTCTTCCACTGGAACACTGCCATGCCATGCCATGCCATACCATGCCATGCCATGCCATGCCATGCCATGCCATACCATGCCATGCCATGCCATGCCATGCAATGCCATGCCATACCATGCCATGCCATGCCATGCCATGCCATGCCATGCCATGCCATGCCATGCAATGCCATGCAATGCCATGCCATGCCATGCCATGCCATGCCATGCCATGCCATGCCATGCCAAGCCATGCCATGCCATGCCATGCCATGCCATGCCATGCCATGCCATGCCATGCCATGCCATGCCATGCCATGCCATGCCATTCCATGCCATGCCATGCCATGCCATTCCATGCCATGCCATGCCATGCCATGCACGGCACGGACGGCAGATATGGGGTGTAAGGGACCAAATGGGATATGGGATGCAATGAGAAATGAGACTCAAGTTTGAAGTGGGAGACATAGTAGTGGCGGACACAATGCCTGCACATAGTAGCGGCGAGAGGCCATCATGATGGCCTATTGCGAGGACAGCCCAGCAAAGGAGGCACGAGGAGTGCGTGGTGGGGCATGTGAGGGGCACGTGAGGGGCATGTGAGGGGCACGCACCGAGCACGTCGCCTGCACGGGCGGCGGGATTGGGCTTTTAGTTGCTGACGTCAGTCGCCCACCCCTTGCTGCCGCCCACCACGATCTCACGCGCCTGTGCACGTGGGGCATCACAAAACGAATGCGAGGGGGGGGGAATGCAGGTTAGAAGCAGTGGTATAGAGCGGCGAAGTCGCCGAGCATGTGAGCATAGAGCGTGCCGAGCGGCATCCAGCGGCACGGGGATCATACAGGGCGCCGAGCATAGAGCGCGCGGAGCATACAGCACGCGGATGTCAGAGAGCGCGGAGCATGGGATGCGCGGAAGGGAAGCAGGGAGGACGAGTCGACCATTATTTGCGCGGCAGTGAGCGCACGTGGCGAGGGCGTGGCGCAATGCGGGCACATGATGAGCAGGACGGGATGAGAGGCATGGAGGGAAGCAGAGTCAAGACGCGCCGCGAGTAAAACGGGTATTACGTGGGGGCAGGGGAGGCAAGAGGGGAGAGCGAGGGGCGAGAGGCCATCATGTTTGGAGATGTGCAGCAACATTGTATTCGGTATGTATCTAGTATACGTCGCCAGGGCCATTACAATTTCGGAATGGCGAGAGTCTAGAGGGGAGGAGAGGCGAGAGGCGAGATGGTTACCTCTGCGTGGGTTGCGACTGAGGGCGCGATGCGAGGCAAGGCGCGATCTGATTCGAGACGCGTTGCGATTTTCGGACAGGATGAGAGATGGCAGTGCGCGAGAAGAGCGGATTCGGGAAGGGAGTGAAGGTACAGGGAGGGGGGTGGAGATGACATAGGGACCACACAAGGATGTGCAGACTAAACGACAAGAGCATGGCGGAATAACGTAATGAACAGAACGTGGAAAAGCGAAACGGCGCAAAAGAGGGAAAAACAGAAGCAATAAGCGAATCGAAGCGGGCGAAAGGAAGAGGCGAGTTTGGGCGCACCGAGCAGGACGAGCAGGCCAGCAGCGAACGCGATTGCGGAGAGCGAGCGAGCCATGGCGACGACGGGCGCGCGCAACGAGATGCCAAGGCTTGGACATCGCGGAAAAGGCAAGTGCCAAAAAAAACTTAAAAGTGGCGCTTTCATAACTTTGCAGTTGCATTCTCCGCACAAGAAAAAAGTTTGACTCAGCAACAGTGGTAGCGTCAGTAACTACAACCGTCACCTTCCCGGCAAAAACGTGTGCAGATTCCCGCATCCGCCACGCAAGTGTACAGGCAACTTCACAACTGGAATACAGTAACCACACACGTTACTCGGATGGTCACCATAACGTTGCACCGCAACCACCCACCTCACATACCTCCCAGTAACCAAAACATGCGGCGACGTACACGTGCCCACAAGTACCTGAATTTCAACCATACCTGCCACGTAAGCGTACACACCCACTACATGCCGAACCTACCACAGCCGCACGATTACGCACCACCACACCAACTATGCACCGTTCACGTGTAAACAGCTCCGCGAGTCGCCAATACTGTTACAATACCTCCAGCCAAACGAGTACCATAGATTAGGGTAGTGCATACCACATCCAGCCCGTCCATTCTCCATGCATTGTATGCTTCTCACCACTACCCCCCTGCCACGTGCAACTCACAACTAAAATTGATACAGAACTACCACGCGCCATCTCACCACCTGCTTGTCCCACGTGTCCTCAACACCCGCCATCGTACTATGTGTTACCCCTTCTCGCAGCTACCTCGCATGCGTAGCCCAACCACTTGCACGCGACCATGTTCTACACCCTACGTAGCATCAACAACTCATAGGCTGCCACGTATCAGCGACTGTTTAGGGAGATCGAAACCGGCGATCGCAAATGCGTGCGGCAGCAATTCGCACAGCCCCTACGCGTCGCATCACCACCTTCAGACCTCACAGGGTTGGTGCACGACACCCGCGACCACCAGCGTGGCAGTTGGGCCACGTTGAGGTTTCGCACCGCTCGTAACATGGTCGCCTGCACCACACTTTCAGTGTCGCACAACACGCATCACCAAACACCAGCCGTCCACGGAGGACGGGAACGATCCACCCCTCCACCGCCACGCGTCACTTTCACACATTCCACAAACGCCACCATGCCAAGCACACAAACATCGAGCCGACAAATGGGGCCTCGTCAACTGTTCGAACCAACCACGGCAATCCACGTGTTGCTGTCAAAGTAGGCGGATCCCAAACCATTGCCCCTCTCGTGAGCACTCCGTCAAACGCGGCGACATTTGCGGTGCACATGACGCGCGCCCCGGAAAATTTGGTTCACTCGGTCCTAGCCAACCAGCATTGCCCGCCGATGTCTGTCTGGATGGATATTGACCCCGTCATGTCCATTACACTAACTCAAAACATGCATACAAGAACAATTTCCAAAACCTTCTACCGCGCAACAAACACCGTAAACTGCAAGAGCAATCTAGTCACCTACAACCCCTAAACAACCCACATGTATCTCAATAGCGCGCGCAAAAGCAACATCACCTCCCACCACGGCAAGGTCTATGCCCACCAACAGCCCGTCCTCCCCCTCCCCGCCGCTCTACACACCCCCGACAGACACCGACTGCACATCGTTCCCGGCGGCGTCTCCTCCGCTAGCGCCTGCATTGGGCTTCATGCTCTCAAGCCCACATGCAGAAAGGCGGAGGCCATGGCGTCCCCATATCCACTCCTCTTTCTCCTCGTCGTACTCTGGATTGAAGTGACGGATGGCCTGTGAAACGGAGCCCTTCACAAGCACCTTGAGCCCGTTCACCATGTGGCCGTTCCCCCCCGCCGAGTTAGAGAGACGGCCCATCCTCTGCTCCCAGTACATGATGCTGTCGGACACCTGACAGGAGATTCACACCGCGCACACATTGTAAGCCTACAGCCCAGGCGAGGAGTAACCACCAAATTTAAACATTGTCACTCACCACGTGCTCTAGCCACGCAAGGTGGTACACCTTCAAAGTGAGCGGCAGTGCAGCCTTCTTCGGAATGAAGGCAGCCTTTGCGCACGCCGCAAACGCCGCAGAAGCAAAGGGCATCCCGTCGCGGTCGTTAGCCCAGTTGCTCAACACCAGATCATCTGCACACCGTCGACAGCTCGGACGAGTAAAAAGACTACACCCAAGCACGCAACCGTCACCAATGTGTAGAAGCGCCTGAACACCGCTTACCGCTCTCATCCGCTCCGAGCCCAATGCGCTCGCGAATCTGCTCCAGCGTCCGTGCGTTGTCCCTTGCCCACGGGCTTGCCTCGTCGCGCTCGTCCCGGAAGAATCCAAGCTTCGGGAGCGCAATGTCCCGGACCCGTGCTGCAGCCCTTGTCTTCCACTCGCTCAGCGTCTTGTTAAGGTCCGCCCGTCGGGACTTGTCCGCTGCCAGCGCGAGACACGCGAAGCTATGCGGCAGGCGGTCAAGCACTGCGCAGACGCCATAAGTCTTGTCGTCAGAGCTCGGATAGAAAGTCATGGTTGCTGCCGGCTTCTTCAGGAACAGCTGCACGCGGACCAACTCGCATAGTCGCTGCACACAAGTCAGGAACCACCGCAAACACTGAATGAGAACAGTGCACCACCAAAGGGCATCCCCCTGCAGACTGCGCCCGCCCATACAGTAATGTTTCCCGTCTGCTAGCACAACCCACCTTCCAAGCCTTGTCTGCTGGCAGCAGATCAAGTGCGCGTTGCAGAACAGGCGACTTCGCAGACCGCATATGTTTGCGCCGCGTGCGAATCTGTGCCACGTCCTCGAAGTCGTCGTCGTCGTCCACCTCATCGTCATCGTCCTCAACCTCAGCCACAGCCTCGCCACGACGCTGGCGCTTTGGGTTCATGCATCCCTGTCCCGGCTCCCTCTGCCGCTCTGCTTTGCGGCGACGAGATCCCCCATCGGACTTCGCCAGTGCCTCCAAAAGCAAGGTTTCCAAGCGGGCAACCTTCTTCGCGCTCTCGTCTTGCGACTTAAGCAGGCTCCTGAATACTCCCGCAGAAACGCGCACCTCCTCTCCATTGGGCGGGACATCAGCGTTCTCGCGGTTCGTGTTGGTTTCGAACATCGCGCGCATCGCGTCGCCCACATCCTCGTCATCCTCCTCTTCGAAAGCGTTGACGTCGCTCTCGATGCGTGCCTGGTCGCCCCCGTCAACGTCCTCGCCTCGATTCCGGAGAGCCAGACGCGGATCAACGTCGCTCTTGGAACGCGAATCTGGCGAGTCACTCTCCGCCGCTTGCTTGCCTACTCTGCCGGGAGAAGCGTCAGATGTCTCCCCTCCTCCGTAGTCTCTGAAGTGGTGGGAATGTAGACGGACGAGAATGTAAGTTCGAGGGTTTAAAAGCTCCATTGCGGAATGAAGGGGAATGCCAACGGATTCAAAATCATACGAGACTGTAAACGCCTCAGTTCAACGGAACAAATCGTGCAACATGCGCAACAAACCCGTGATTACCATCACCAGCAGATTTTCCGCCACCTCCCGCAATGGTAAACGTCAAACGCTTAGGCAAAGCAGTTCCCCGAGTCCCCCTTGCCATGCGCCCACGAGGAGTTGCAAGCTGATATGCCGCGCGCAGGTACGCCGGAGGCTGGGACACTCGCCGTGCACGCCCCAAGTTGCCAGTATCTTCGGAAGCAAGGGAAGTCTCCATTGTGCCCAGTTGACAGTGTTTGAGTGCACCGTACGCATTCCTTAGTGCTCTGATTGATATAGCAAAGTACACGGTACCCAGTGGAAATTGCTCAACAACGGAAACACCCATTGTGAAAACCGTTCCCTCCAATCAAATTAAAGGCAATCTCTGACAACCACTCGGAAACAACCTCCACGATTTCTGCCATCTTTGTAAGCGAATACACGTCGGCCACCGATCCCCGTCATCTTTTGTCCGAAAACCCGTCCTCTCGCTATCAGTTCCGCTTACTCCGTCTTCGGTACACTTGCTATCATGCAAATTCGTAACACCTCCACATTCAACTCCAGATATCATTTACTAGCAAAATAGTACAGACACGATAGATTTCACATACTTTCCACACACATGCAAACATCAGTCGGGTACGGATGCCTTTTTCTATCCCACGGTACACTCTCATTTCCCACTGATATCCCAAGCACCATCCGACTGCCTCCCACGACCAGCTTCATCTGTCTTGTCATCCATGGACTTTGCATCGGCACTGCGGAGCCTCCCAAGCGCCCTGCTGTCTCAGTGTCCTCACTTCCAGCCTTCTCTCCTTCACCCTCTCCTGCCGTGCCACCACCCTGCGCACCACTCTCCTTTCGCGGTCTCCCCCTTTTAGCAGGCGTTGCATTCTTCTTGGCCCGCGCTGCCTTCCGCATCACACCTTCGTACGCCTCCCTCCATACCCTCCAGGACTTTTAGGACTTCAGGAGTGCACCCCTTCAAAGCTGCCCTATCCGCCGGTGTTAAAGCCACAGAGTTCCTGGTGCCCATGCCTGGCCTCAGCACGTGGGCTGCTGCCGCGTAGCAATACGCTGCCTCCTCTATCGTGGTGTAAGCGCCGACTCTCCTCGTTACCTTCTTTCCGTCCTTGTCCTTGGCGACAACCTTCACCCCAAACTTGCCTGTATCGGCCTCCACATACACCCCGGTGTACTTGGTCGGCTTTGTTCCTGGCTCGGTCTCCCCCTCTCCGTCCTCGTCAGAATCCTCTCCTCCGGCCAAGGGCTCCTGCTTGGGCACATCTGTGAAGCCGGGGTGTGCGCCCGCACCGCTCTGCGCGATGCCGTAAACAGGATAGGATGGCTGGACTAGTGAAACCGCAGCTCCCTGCTGGCGCGACAACAGCCAGTGTGGAACCGTCCCGGGGATCGGCAGATGTGCCGGGAAGCAGGGGTACGCTCCAACGGCTGACGCGAACTTGCTGTCGAGCGACACTCTCGTGTTGGAGCCCACCAGATCCTCGTCAGGGCTGTCGTTCAGCTGCTTCGTGTATCCTGAAGGCCGTACAGGAGTGGTTGGGCCGTGCTTGCGCGGATCATTACCTCCCGCTCCCTGCACAGCGCAGGCAGGCTTCTGCAGCATGTTTTCGCCGGCAGAGATCAGCTCCTCCCTCGACATCCCAAGCACCTGCCCAATTGCGGCGAATCCTGCAGTCATCGCACCGACCTCGCGCTTCAAGGAGCACACCTCCGCCTCGAGTCGGTCCACACGTCTTTGCTCTGTGTGTTGTCCGTCCTCTGCACCCTCCTTCAAAGTCGTGTTGGTGGTGGTGCCGCTTTCCTGAGAAGGAACATCCACGCCATCTTCCTCTAGCCTCCGGAGCAACTCCCCCATAGCGTGTGCGCATATATCAGCGCGCATGTTGCGGCGGTACTGCAGCGCGCTGACCCCTTTGAACCACAGGCCACTCTTCAAGTTGGCGAAGTCGGAGTAGACCAAAACTTTCAAGTAGTGGCAGATGAAGACTCCGCAGTCAAAACCATTCTCTTGCTTAGGGATGTGGTTCGCCTGCACACAAAGAATCCGCACACCGGGTAACCGCTGTTCACCTTATAAACCTCAACTGCCTAACACCAAAAACACCAGAACAGCCGCCCTTACCGTGAGGACATGACAGGGAACGTCCTTCAGCAGCAGTTCAAAATTCGACATGTCCACATGTGGGTGCGTCTGCTTGGCGAGAGTTGTCAGCAACCTGCATCACGTCTCATATGAGGAACCCGGTTACATCCACGCCGGTGTTAACAACCACCATATTACGGCTTATGCTACAAACACTTACAGCTTCACGCCACTGAAAACCTTCTGTGTACTCATGGGGGCCTTGGAGCTGTCGAACAACACCATTTCCAGCGGAGGGCTATCCTTCCTTGCCATCTTATCCACCAGACGGTGGGGTGATACGACTATCACCAATGAGTAGTGCTCTCTGCAGGGAGGCAAGCGACAGTAAACGGCAGTGTTTAGTACGACCGATGAAGAATGCATGCAACTCACGGGTGTTGCTGAACTACTCAAACAGCTCGATGATTACCCCCTGTAGACAGGCACCGCCAGGTAGTCGTGCTCAAGGAGAGGCAGGCCGTTTCCAGCATTGACGGGAGTATTGTGCTCAGTGGTGTTCGCGAAGTTGTTGCAATCGACAGCCGCCCATGTCTTCCCGTTTGACAGTTTCGGCACTCGGATGCTTAGTAGCCTGGAAACACACGCCGGACATGTTGGAAAGTCGGCATAAAGGGAGGGCATCAGATCCTCATGCTGCGATTTATCATGTTTAAAAAAAGAAAACAACGTGCACGAAGCCGGGCGAAGCCGTTACTCACACGTTGTGAAAGTCTATCGCCCCGTCAGTCACCCATGTGTTGTCCGCGATGGAGGCGAGATCCTTCTTGTCGACTGTGCTGACCACGTCGCGATGGTTCTTGAGCTCCACGTTCCGATATTCGACTTTGTGATAATTCTTCTCCAACGCCGCCACCAAATCGTCGGGCTGAGGGAGTTCAGCAGGCGTGCTGGCTGCACCGTCAGCGACTTCCATGGTCTTTCCCTTGTCATCCTCCACCGCCCGTCGTTGCCTTTTTTTGTTAGAGCCGGCGGCCTTTCCCTTACGCGACCTTGTCGCACGCACTTCTCTTATCTCGGACTCGGAGCAGCCGCTCGATTCTTGGCTGCCGGTGTGCGCGTTTTTCGGAGGCATGGTTGGCACAAGATGAGGGGAAGGATGCGATTTCAGAATCAGGTGTACTAGGGCCGGGCCACGGTTCCTACGGTAAACTAAAACCGTTAGGGTTCTCCTGCGATCGAATTTGGGAAAGCGCAATAGCCCGGGGCAAGAAGGCAGCAAAAGTGGTCACATCCCCCGATGGATGACAGATCTCCAGTTAGGGTTACTCGAGGTTCGTCGCATCATGCACAGGTCACCGGGATGATGACAGCTGGGCACCGCAGAATGGTCTGGAATAGTTGGATGAGTGCATGTCATTGCTCCGTAGCCAGCACGACATCGAGAGGCTCCAAATAACGGGGGTGCGTGTATGACTTGTTTTATATCAGGCATTTTCAATTCGAAAGGCAGTGTAGCGTCGATAAAGTAGTGGTCCAGTTGGTAGGGCCAACTCCCATTTGTTTCGACTTATGATGATATAAAGTGATACGACAATGCACAAACGCGTACATCTGGCTCGTGACGTAAGGTACGAAATTGGCACTTCCTCGCACGAATTGCTAGTACACCGCTGTGGGCAAGGTGTAGACACGGGGCCACCTGGCCAGTGTAGCAGTGATCAAACAGTGCCGGATGGGAGAGCCCCTGTTTGGAGTCGTGCACGTATACGCGGCATGTAAAGTCTCGTTGAAGATTTGTAATATAATAGCGCTTATAATGGGTTGACAGTTTCTGCTTTTGTTTCGTGGCCAAATTTACGTAGGTAAATATTATCAATAGTAAACGGATAGAGTTGCACACTATTTGTTTGCTTCAACGACGTAGTCTTATACACATATCGTCTATCTTCACATGGCTATTTATGAACAACCAAGTGTATTCTTACGTACATGTAGTGTGTACGAAGCACTGACGCCTCATATGTTGCCGCGCACGGCCGTGGACGATATGAAAACTGACTACCTCAACCATTGCTAGAGGTCGGATTAGGGTTTGTAGCAAGTCCGAGATGACGGGAAACAAGTGCGGAGTGTGCGGTAAGGAATTTCCTAGCGACCGTGACTTGCAGTCTCATCTCTCAGACAGAACGAAATGCGGGGACTCGTTGAAGAGAAATCTCGAGCAGCTTATGTTTGATGCTTACCTGGATGCGCTAAACAGTGTTGGGCAAAAACGCCAGCGCAGCCCTGCTACGTCTAGTGCCAAAACCAACCCTATACCTACGAACTTGCCGCCAGAGGGCTCACCGCCGCAGGCGACGGAGGCAGATCATGAGGCGGACGATGGCGACTCAAAAATTTCTACTTCTTCGGAGGCCAGCGACGTCTCCGACTTCTTCGACACGCTCACGGAGCTGTACCTGTTTTTCCGTGACGCGGACTTATCACGCCGTGAAGTCAACAGACTGCTTAACATATTCCGTAACCCTCAGTTCAGTTTGAAGGAATTACGCAAGTGGCGCAGCTACGCCGACGTGAAGCGATGGGGGAAAGAGCGTGCGCCGCCAGATATGGTTCCATGGAAAACAGAGCATATCGTCGTGCACGGGCCCAGAGGAATGTCCCAAAAGCTTCTCTTGCACTTCCGCGACACAGAGCTGGTGAGCTTGTCGTCATCTGCGTACCGCCCTTATTCGGCTTAGGTGTTGTGACAGATGGCGTGTAACGTGCCTATCTTTATTTGTGTTGTCGCGCATGCTTGCTATGGCCATGCTCTGATGTGCAGCTTGTGAAGAAGCTAGTCCGCATTTTTTCGCGGAGGAAGGGTTTCGTGTGGAAGCCACAGGAGAAGTACAACGAGAAGGGGAAGCGCGTTTTCGAGGGGCCAGAAACAGGCACGTGGATGCACGAGGCGCAGGTGCGTTGCCTGGCTGAAACAGTGCATGTCCGATGCAAGGGCCTTGTTCCGTAATAACCACCTCGGTGTGTGCGTGTGGCAGAAAGAGATCAAGGACGACAAGGCTCTGATTCTCGGGGTCATCGTGTACAGCGACAGCACTCAGGCGTCGCGCAACGGGCGGCGGAATGCGTGGCCTGTTCTGATATCGCTTATTAACATTCCGGAGGAATTGAGGTGGTTTGAGCCGGGCCACACTCTTGCGGCAGTGTTGCCATTCTGTCCGGAATGGGCTAGTCCGACAGAGAGGGCTCGTGTTTTCCAGGAGGCGCTGAAGATCATCCTAGGGCCCCTGATGCGGGAAACCGCAAGGTACGTTTGGCGGCATGTGTGTTGGTTCTTCACGCGGTAAACGCGTTGCTTGTGACGTACCTGTGATCCGTTACCTATTCGAAATCCCTTTCTGTATCCAGTGCTCCTGTGAGGTACTTTTATGTGACAGACGCCACCGGCAATGTGGTCAAGGCGGTACCTTGCCTCTATGGGTACCCTGGTGACTATCCAGAGAACAGTAGGGCCTCAGCCACGCTGCAGACGGGCACTCATCGCCCCTGCGCTAACTGCTATGCAGAAGTGGGAGAGCTGAAACGGCTGACTGCTAGAATAGATCCACGCACACCTGAGCGGCAGAAGGACATTGTGCGACAGTTTTTTGCGTTCGCCAAAAAGGAGGACGCCCGGAAGTACATGAGCCAGTGGTCAACCCATCCGATAGAGGTATGTTGCAGTTTGCCATTGTGCCGTGGAAACATTCGTCGCACTGGTGGCGACACTGGACATATAGGGTTGTGACGTGCTTCCTTCTGTGCGCAGTGCGTGCTGGCGCGGTGGAACTTTGGGAACACCACCTGGGGGAACGTCTACCTCGCATGTTTGGCTGACATTTTACACGTGCTGGACTCTGGTGTCTTCGTACACATGATGGAAGAATACCTTTCCCCCCTGGGGAAAGTCGAGATCCGCATCCTGGAGAGGTGAGCCGTGTAGATCATCAGTGCGGTGTTTTGGGGTGGTCAGGGCTTTGTCAGTTCCTTGGAACGGGTTTTATGGCTTGGCCGAGATGCGTAACTGGCTCGTTGGCCCCTATTGCGTGGCAGGCGGAAGAAGGAGTTCAAAAGCGATACTCCAAGTGTGCTGCTGCGGATTCCTGGGGGATCATCATTCTTCCTTTCTGGTGCCCACTATGCGGCGTTCGAACATCGTGCCATGATGCAAATCATGCCGATCCTCATTGCGGATTCTAGTGCCTTGAAGAAGGGCGAGGCGGGAGAGTTGAGGGCGCTGCAGGTTAGAGCATTCCGTTATTACGCCCTGTTCTACAAGGCGTTTTTGGGAGTGGCGGCGCACACCCGTGCCACGCTGAAAGAGGCCAAGCAACGTGCTGTTGCGTAAGTACGGTGGTTGGAGACGTGTGTTGATTGCAATCCTTGTGCACCCTTAACCCTGTGCTTTGCAGTCTGCTGTTAGAACCTCTGAGCTACACAACTGTTTGCTATGCAGGCTGATGGAGCTACTGCCCAAAGCTTTCCCGGACCAGGCGTCAAAGTGGGAAATTCCCAAGATCCACATGATCAAGCATCTTCTCGAGAACGTGGAAGCAAGGGGGATGCCACACCACTACAGCACGGAGATGTGGGAGCGCACTCACAAAGGGACAGTGAAGGGTCCCGTGAGGGGGAGCAACTGGGCTGACATTCCGAGGAGAATTGTGGATGAGGAGATGCAGTGGGAGATTTACAGAGAAGTGGCGGCCGACGCGGGAGGAGGTCGGCAGTACGTGTCAGCGCTGCGTGTGGTGAGTGTTTGGGTGCAAGCAAGACTAGGGGTGGTGCGCTGGGCGACTCACGCCCTGTACTTGCTGCGTGTTGGCTATGCACTCTCATTCTGTGTATGCTGTGTCGCCGGTGGTTGTGTGCGGCAGGCCGTGGAAGAGATGGAGCCAGTGCTAACGAAGAAGTTCAGGGTCATGCGCCTCGGAGGCACCGCGGACAAGGTGTTTGCCGAGTACGCAGCGGTATTTGGGGATCAGATGGCGGGCCTACCAGGTCAGCTGCGGGAGATGCAGTTGAACCCTGGCAGTGTGCAGGTAATTGTTTTTTGTGGTGCGCGGATTGTCGGTTTTTGGTGCGCGGAACGAGTGACATTGCCTGACCTCTTTGATTTGTGCGTGGTGCTTGCCTTATTGCAGACACACACAGCAGTGGCCATACCACGTACGCAGGGTGGGGTGCTTGTGGCGAAGGGGACGTTCGTCAAGGCGTCCCCGCGAGAGAACCTGTTCTCAGATGTGGCACTCCTGGCTCCTGAAGGCGGGGATTGGTTTGCTAGATGCCTATGTATTTTCAAGGCGTTGAACGCGGAGGGCAAGTGGACTGGGTGTGCCTACGTGAGGTACTACGAAGCAGCAGGCCAGTGTCCCATCACAACGTGCACCCAGTTGCATTTAGCTCGAGAGAGTGTCCGGTTCGCAGTGGTGTTGCTGAAGAGCCTGCAGAGGGTTGTGCACGTATGCCCTTCGTACAGCAACCCTCGTCTGCTGCTGGTTAACAAGTTTCTACTGTGCGAGTAATTGGAGTTGGGCTGTGTGTTTGGAACTGAGGGAAGGTGGTTTTGTTACACTCCTAGAAGGGGTGGAATTGTGGGATTGTGGCATTTAAGGGTGCATGGGAACCTGGGTAAGGGAAGGAGAGTGCGCAACAGAATAGTACGCAGGTCTCATGCTTTGATTTGGGGGGCTTGTGTGGTGGGAATGTGGGATTTTGAAAATTCACCGTCATACTGGAATTTTGGCGGCCGGTGTGTGGATTGAGGCAATGCTTGTAACGGATTTGGTTATTACGGTTGTTGGTTCAGGGCACTGGTGTGCGGATTTGGGATTTGTGGCTGAAATGCAGGGACACTCTTGTAACGGAATCCATTTGGATATGTGGCTGGGGCTAATGGTTCGATGTTCGGATTTCTAGTGCGTGTGACTGGAGGGTGCGCATTTGTGTGACGTGTACGACATCAGAGGTTGACAGGTTGGGCCAATGGGAACTGCGCAATTGTGTACCTGGCATGTAGTGGACAGTGTTCAGTTGGAGAGCGATTCAGTGGTTGCTGCACATGTGGAGCGCCTAAAAGGCAGCACATGTGGTGGTGGAGAGTACGGTTTGGGCTTTTGGTGGATGATTTTGGGGACGTCCACCATTTCATCTCCAGCGTCCCACACGTTGTCCGGGGTGTGCTGGTGGCCAGTATGAGCTCGGTGAAGCCCCCGTTGAAGGACATCGTACAGAAGCTGAAAGTGCTCCCCGACGATGTGTTTCTGTTTGTGGAGATACCTTTTATACCCAGCCGGTTGCCGAAGACCAAGATACCGGGGAGGAACGGAACCCCGTGCGACCGGATCATAAGTGTCGGCTTCTTGTACAATGCGACGGGGACCTGCACCACGGTGCCCCTTGTGGTGTTGCGCCATGACGAGCGCCCCGAACCTAGGCGCAGCGGGGATCCTGCACCGGCGGTGATTGTGCGCTACACGAAGAGTGGGCGCCTCACACCCGAGGTATGTGGGCAGATTTCGAGTGGACTCCCACCAGCACATGTGTATAATGTTGTGGCTGCATTTCAACCCTGTTTCTGTGTGATACCCTAATTCCGCGCTGGCGCTGTCGTGGCTTGGCGGTGCGCAGGTGTTTACCGAGTTTTTTCAGACGGTTGATGGGGTGCAACTTAGTCGTGGAAGGAAGACGGTTGTGTTCACCTACAACACGGCGCACCGCATTACCGCGAATGACGCGGAGACCACGGTGGAGCATGGGCTGACTATGGTGCATTTCACGCACACACGCTTTGTGGACCTGACAGACGTTGTGCACTGGTCCAGTATGCCGTTTTTGCACGGCGTGGTGGACGCTTTCAAGGCTGAGTATCGTGTGATACTGATGAGACGCGCGGTGCGGTCCAATCTGTTCCACGAGGATTTCGAGGCGCCGATTTCCCTGGTGAATTACGGTGTTATGCTGCTGTGGGTGGGCTTGGCATGGAAGGCGCTGACGGCGGCAACGATGCAAAGGAGCTGGTGGAGGGCGGGATGCGTCCCGGAGTCATGGTGGGAGCTGATGTGGCACCTGCACGGCATGTACTCGGCCGGCATGTACGATCCCCTGGTCTCTACCACGGCGGACCTCCTGGTGCTGCTACGTGAGTTCCGTGTGCGGCCGGCTATTTATATGCCGGTGTCCGATTACGTGACATGCGATGAGTGGTTAATGGAGAAGGCTGGTGTGAAGTTGGTGACGCCAACGACGCCGACGTCTTCAGGGGACGAGGGCGAGATGTGCCTGCCGGATGGGCCTCTGATGCGTGACGAACGAAGCCGACGACGTGCCATCCGCAATGTGACGAACGCGTACGTGTGTCACGCGGAGGCGCTGGGGATTGCTCCTGCGGAGGTGGCGACTGTCGTTGGCGCCTCTGATGGAGAGGTGGTTAGCCGCCTAAGCCGCACACCGAAGAAGCGAGCTCGCAGTTCGGGGTCGTCGGACAGTGGGTCCGTGTAGTGCGCTTGGTTTTGATGCTGTAGTGGGTGGGGGGAGTGTTTGTTGGAGGGCATGCCTCGAAGGGTGGGCTCATCTTTGTAGGTGTGGTTGCTGGTTGACAGTAGGGTTTGGTTTTGTGTGATGTTGTACTTTGTATTGCTGAGTGCTGGAGTTGCAAGCGAATGACACGGTTTACACATTATGAAGCCGACGGTGTGCAGAGCAGTGTAGTTTGGTTTGTTCAGTATATACAGTTGCTCGGAGTAGGTGTGCATTTATCGTTTCTGGGGTCCCTGTAGCGGGGGAGGGGCGACACGACAATACCGAGTATGTGTGGCGTTTTTGGCTCGAGGCGCATGCGTTCGAGGCGCATTCGTGGAGGCGGCGCGGATAATGGCGCAGGTGACCCCAAAGTGACATTATGGTGGCGTAAATGTTGTGGTCCAGTGTGCGGTTATTGATCGCGCCAATGTTGCGTTTTACGGTCCTTGTTTTTCGGACACTTGTCGCAACAATCACGCAAGCCCCACGCAGAAAAACCTTCGGACACCCCAAAACGCAATTTCCCTTTTCCGCGATGGACGCGCGAAGCTGTTAAAAGTGCTCTTAAACCCCGCGTCGCACGATGGCGGGGCTGCGAGGATTTGAGGCTCCGTCGCTTGACGAGGCAGAGACGTGCCGTGCGTTGGTGGGACGCTCGCTAGAGACGCTCAGGTAGGCCGGAGAAGCGGAGCCGAGGCAGTGAGGTGTGAGTTGAAGGGCAAAGGCGTGGGCACATGGACCGGTGGCGGTGGTTAATTTTTTTGTCATCGTTATGGGAGCTGGTGGTGCGATGAACCCGCGCTGTCACGCCGCTCGCTGAGAAGGGAGGGACGAGCGCCGCGCAACTCTCGCATTGCAGAGCTGGTGGACGGCAATTACGGGAGGTTGATGGCCAGGCATGGTGACGGAGTGCAGTTCGGTGCAGGCAAGGCTCAGCTCGGTTGGTCAGACGAATGCCCAACAGCATGCCGCAGGGGCGGCTCTACCTGCTCAAGTGAAATTCGCGACACGGGCTACTCCGTCTCCCGAGAGAATTGCCGCGGCGCGGGTTTAGGTCTCGCGAATTTTTTTCATCGCGCTAAAATTTTTACACAACCCAAAAGGCACAAGTCCCACCTTTTATCGCGAGCGGCGCGCGGTCCCGGCACTTTGTCTGCAAATTGGTAGTGTAGATGTAAGTGTACGGTCAGGTCCGAAGTTTTTGCCAGAAACCCAAACCAGACCCTCCAACATTGTTGGAGCCATACAAGTGTAGTACAGTGTTGCCATGCCTACGTGTGACAGCTCGTACTTTAGGCTCGACAAGGCGCCACCAAGTCGATGGTCCTATGAGCGCCAAATGGCAGTCATTGAGACGATATGTTAATGAGCAACGAAAACTGAGCACATCGAACGTGGACCAATAAGGTGACGTTTCGGGACGATCCGGGGTTATTCATCACGGTAAACAATGTCAGACAAGTTTCCCACCAAAAACCATGCATGCACCAGTCTGACGTCAACGCGGATGCACTGGCTGAATGTGTTATGACATTTCACAACAACAAAATGAGCACCAATCGCAGGCAGCCGTTCATGAACAAAGCTGCCCACGTGGTACGTTTAGCCCAGTTGCCACATGTGCTCATTAACACCATGCGTGAAGCGGCCAACGTGCTAATTACAACGAACCAAGTCCAATCCGCATTTTATCTACAAAGTTTATGAGCATGCCAGCTGCACGCCACCTGGCCTCCGGGTGAATCTACCAATGTGATTCTCACCATTCAGGGACACCCATGAGGGTTTGCCACCCCATGCTTGGCCCTGTGTACAACCTCGATTTGCTAAAGAACAGACCGCGAGCATGAGCGAACGAGGATAAACCAGCACACGGTTCCACGTGGACGGGAATCGGATAAAACGACGTTCGCGACGCGATATGCATCCAATCGGTGCTCGAATTGTTCAGCGTGCAAGTCCCGCAAGCGAGTGCCGTTGTTGCCCATGATTAGTCACAAGACCCCAGGCCCTCGCATTCTTATTCATTGTCATTCTTGCTCATTACCCCCCGACCTGTGCTCGATGTTTGGCTTTCCGTTTCAAACAATCTCGCATTAGCAGTCCCGCTCACCGTTGTTCACAAGTTTGAGCCCTTTACTCCTTCGTTGCCGTTAGCCTGAGACTCACCCGCGTTCACCTCTAGCCACTAGAGATGCCTACGGGCCGGCCGGACGACCCAGTCGCACTTGATATCGAGAAGGATGACGACCTATTGGAAGTAGAGGCCACGTCGGATCACGGCGGAACGGCCGGAGAGGATGCTACTAAAGTCCCAAGCGGACGCCGCTCGCGTAACAGGGGCGGCCAGCACCAAAAACGTCAAAAGACGACTCGTGCAGAACAGCAACCAGCGACCGGCCCGAATACTAAGGCGCACCCGGCACGGGCCACGCCAGAACCGTATTCCTTCCAACCCCCGCCTCCCCCCCAGAAGTCGCTACCACCGGCACAGGATCTTATTGCGGACATGGCAGGGAGCATGAAGCAGCTCCCGGGCATTACCCCGGCGTGCCGAGCTAGGAAGGAACCGTCGGTCAAGAGTGGCAACTGGCCCACGAAGCTGGTTTCTAACTGGCATGGGTTCGGCACTACGTTGAACGTTGCCGACGCTCTCCACATGCAGGACGATGCACCAATCACGGACAACGCACTGGACTTCCACAACATGTAAGTCCCGCCAAGTCAATGGAGAAGTTTTATCGCTTGTCAATACTCGCGGATCCATTTTTGCAACACTGCTTCCTTCTAACGGCCGCAACACAACCCCCCTGTTCGTACCCGTACAGCATCCTGGACATCCGCCATCCGAAATTGGGCAACGGAAAAACGTGGATCGCGCTCGATGTCAAAGCTTACGACTACTGGGTGTCACAAAAGAAGCTCATCGCATGCTGCGACGACAAGGACTCCTTTTTGCGCTTCGACTATGTGGCAATTTTTGCCGCGGCTGAGTACGTGATCCAATCTCCCACCCGTGGTTTTGCTAATGGCTAGGGCCCTCTAATCACTACCATCGTCTTCTTTTCAGGTTCCACTTCAGCTTGTTTGTTCTGGAGAACGCAAGCACTCTTGTGACATCATCAGACGGTGGTGAGGAGCTCCCCACCCCCAAGCTGTGGCTGTATGATTCCACAGGTCATCATGCAGCCAACCATGCAGTCGTCACAAACGTCCGCCTGTAAGTTTAGGCGCTCAAAGGGTGTTTGTAACCGGTTTGGCGCGAAACTAGCTGATCTATTTTCCACGTGCGATGGCAGGATTCTCGCGTCGGAGCTGAACCGTGTCTACCCCCAGCTGTCCCGAACAGACGTCGAGTCCCGAATTGGCTCCATCCCCTATCGCGTACTCGACGTGAGATGCTTGAGTTTCCGGCCTTCGCACATGTCTCCCCCCATAATATGTACTAAACATTCACGGTTGTTATGCGCAGATCCAATTCGAGATACCGCGTCAGCCCGAGAAGAGTCTCGACTGTGGTGTTTACACTGGCATGTACCTCCACTTGCACGTTACCACCAACTTCCAACACCTCGGCAGACCAATCGCATTCACCACTGCACCCCTGCGTTACCGTCGCGACTGGCGGGCTGACATGTGCGCCTACATATCTGGCAATTTGTTATCTGCCCTTCAAACAGCTGGCCTCACCCTTCCCCCACAGAAGCTCAGCCGTGCAGGTGCCATGCCAACCAGTGGCGACGTCTCGGAGATGAGCGGTGTCGTCCGCGAGACGAGCTCCGACGTGCAGACCCTGAAGAAGGAAGTCGCCGCGCTGCGCGCAGACTATGCCGAGCTGCAGTCAAAGTTCACCAGTGTGAGCCAGCAACTGTTTGAGCGCGTCGGGGCAATGGAGAAGGCTCGGGACACTGCGAAGACCTTAGAGGGCCCGCATGGTGCGCATGGCCCCGGTGACAAGGCATCTCCATCCAAGCGGGTGGACTCTAGTCCCGACCCGGGGCTCAGAGACACCGCGGCCTCCCCCCTTGCAGGATTCCGACATGCATCGCGGATTGGGGCCGACCAAGACGCAGCTCCGCCGCAGCAGCTCCACCGTGAGCCAGGGTACGCACCTGCCTCGCCGTCACCCGGCCCCGTTCCTGCACAGCCTCATCAGCCTACCGTGCCACCGGGGCGGGACGCGACATACTATCATCCGGGCACATCCCGCGCTGCCCCGCCGCAGAGACCGATCGCTCCACTCCCACCTGCGCCTCCCCCGTTAGGTCCCGTATACCCAGGGTTCTCTGCCGGGCCACCTTATGCTCCACCGCCCGGGATGCCCTTCTTCTGGCAAGGAGGACCCCCGCAGCCCGCACCCCCCCCGCAGAAGTCGTTCCAACCGCCCGCCATCCCGAATATGAGTGCCGCGGGTGAAGGCGGCATGGAGTGGATGCACGACGGCGGAGGCGAGGTTGGTGTGTGCGGGGCTACAAATGATGGCTACAACGGCGGACGTCCCAGGAACAAGTACGTAGGTGTTACCGCGCAGGGAGATGTTTGGTTTGCCAAGCTGTTGATGCCGCCCCCAGGCAACCCCATACGCATGGGCCCTTTCCCGAGCGAGGAGGAGGCAGCCAAGGGATACAAGGCTGCCGCACTGGTGGTAAGGCCGCAGGGTTATCGCATCCAGCGCAGTATTGAACTGACCCCGTTGGAGCACCAGCTGCTCAAAGGGTGCACCAAGCAGCACGTGATGAGCCTCGCCGAGCGTGGCCTCTGGCATAGGTGGCGCGAATGGCGGCAGCTTATGCCGGAGCTTCCCCCGGCTCCACTGCTACAGGTTCCGCACGCCCCCACCATGCTGCCGCCGCGCACGCAAGCACAGCCGAGCAGCAGCGTTGCCACACAACCCCCGGGCATGGGCCACTCACGACCGCATAGTGGTCAGCCGCAATATTTGGATGAGCATCAGGGTTACAACTGAGGTACGATCTTTA